AGCTATTTTCTCTCCGGAAGCCGGGTCGAGAATTCAAGAGTCGACGAGCATCCCAAGTGTATACATCTAGTTCAGATTCGGGAGGGAGGTTCCCGAGGAAGTTCCTTCCGACTGCTCGAAAGCTGATTTCCGCTTGTATGGACCTATTTTTTTATCGTTCTGATCCCAGATCTCAATTTCTCAAGGGGACGAGGGGGTGGGAGATCAGAACCTAGCCCTACGGCGCTCCGCGGTTCGAATTTCGAGACTATGATCGCCCCCCTCCCCCGCTTCCCGGGAATGACGTCAGCGGTGGAGTTCGAAGGGGGACTATGTCAAGCGGGAAAGTTTGTGTTCCGTGGATCGATTCGGACAGGTTGGGAGTCTTCTCGATCAAAGGGCGCGCACATAAATTTAGATCTGGATACCCCTTTTCCGTGGGATTGTCGGGTTCGATAGTGATGCTGTCTTGCGTAGTTAACGATATTCTTACGTGCCGCAAAAACCCTCACCTGAGACGGGATCTGTGCAACTGTGTCTTGCATAAGGTGGTTATTGGCGTAGCGTTACAGGAGGAAGGACGCCGATAAACCCAAACGGCCTAACCGACAGCAGCGGCACGTCGCCCTCGCCAGATACTTCTCTTCGCCGCTGCTTGCGAGGGATTCCTCTCATACCAATCGGAATCCCCATATACGAAGTTGGCCCAGAGTCCTGCAATCCGACGGACTATCAAGACGATGTCTTTTCTCATTAAGTGACATGGGCGATCATATTTCCGGGAAAGCCGCGCACGTACGTCCCCGTAAGCTCGTTCACGTGCCGTATGAGTGAATTTTTCGGAAAGGCTCTACGCTCAATGACATCACGGGTTAATGGCCTTCAGGCGAGCTCTCTGTGCTCGGGACGCATCGCCGTCCACGCAGTCTGAGACAGTTTCAGACTGCTCTCGACAGAACTCATAAAACGGCTCGGGATGATTCTCCGTTGATAACCGTGGTCGCTCCAGCTTCTCGGAACTGTTCAGCAGGTCAAGCCCGCGGTGACTCATGACCATGATTTATTTATAAATGATTCCGGGAATTAATCACGGAAGAAGGGGTCTACCACGCAATGGGTAGGGCTCATTGGGATCATGTCGCCTCAATGGACTCCGCGTGTAAATTTGGCCCAGGAATTAGAGACTCGGGGAAAAACAAGCGAGTCCTTCATAAAGAACAATGGGAGCGGCGCTTCTTTCCCCCGCGCAGCTTCAAGCCGCGAATAGATTATACGGTCTCCGCGGGCTTCAACGAGATCGACCGCCGGCTTGTTCAAGATATTGATGACAGTTTCCGATCGTTGATACCCTATTCCTGGAATTCGCTCCGCCGCTTCGAGAACGTCCTTGAATCGCACGGCTGGCACGAGTTGAGGGCGCTTAATGGATTGAACATTTCGACTAGAGGGGCTGCGGCCCCCGCTCCGGATCTGCATGGGGAATTCCCTTGCATGATGTCCCGTAATCATGCTACGTGCCCGCCTGCGCCGAAAACGGTGAGTCATGCCGAGCGATATCCTCTCGCGTATGAAGCAAGCGAGCGAGCGCCCGAGTCGCGAGTCTCTGTGTGTCACCTGCTTCCCCTCCGACCCGGTTTATTTCCCCGTCTGACTGAGTAAGGGTTCGCGCGATCGTCCCGTTTCTGCCGAAGCGTGTTCCCCGGGGATAACACATAACAGTTGTTCCGTTCCTTTGTGCCAATCGTCTGGTCGTCGGTGTAACTGTGTTTTACATATCGCTGGAGCGATTGTATAAAATCTTCGATCGCTATCGGCTTCTCTCTTAGATCAAATCAAGCGAAATTGACCTCGATCCCCCGGTTCAGGGTTAGACTCTTCTCACTGAGTTCTGATCTTATGCCATTGGAAAATTCCGGACGTTTTCCTCGTATTCGGCACGATCGCCGGGATACTATATGGAGGATGTGGGTGCTCCTGGCGGAAGTTAGTCGATGGTCGTCCGATTTCTTACATGGTCGTCCATAAATAAACTCCAACCCATCTGATACGTTCCGACTTGGAAATCAAAATTAAAACGTAATTGAACGAGCAAGTTCGAGGACATTGACAATGGGCAGACAACAACAAGCTCGCCGAACTTTCTTCAGGATTCTCACCGGGTAAGATTACCGACTTGTATATCATGAAAAACATTTTAAATATCGATGATATTTTACAAATATACATGTATTATGTATTTTTCCGGATCAGTTCTTCTTATAGGGAATAGATAGATTCTCAGGCAACTCTTCGAGAGATGAAAATGTCAAGAGGCTTCAACAAGCGTCGAATCTGTGTCAAATAACTCTGCTATGTCTGCAAAGTCATGAATAAAGTTGTTGTCTCCGTCACCGCGCGATGCGAGCCGCGGGTGCGTCACGACGAACGAGTCACGGTGGCAGAGTTCACGAGAACTAGTAGTCAACGAATAATCCGCTTCGTGAGATTCCATGCTTCACTCACGCGGTAGGCAAGCAAGAGAGTTGACACAATGAGGTGACGCCAATGGAGGAGAGCAGTGAAAATATCCGTTCACGGAATCACTAAATAGGCGGCTCGGAAGCCCATAGGAATCGATGACTGATGTTGTCATCCGATAGAAGAATCTCCGACAGAACGACCCGCTCTGACGTCTATGACAGTAGTCATTTCTGGAACATGATCAAGTGAGATCTCCGACTGATCCTCATGCTAGGCAGGGGTACATATCATTCTCAGACAGGAGGGGGGGGGGGAGTTCCACGTGGTGGCGCGCCTCTGTTGAGTCAAGCCGAAGAGGAGCTCCTGAACAAGCGAATTCTTATGGGTAAGATTGGATAGGGTCGGAATACAGTGAACTCCGCTTGATAAAACAGTGTTTAATGGGGCATAGGGTTCTCTGCTCGTTTGGTTCGCTTCCGGAGAGTCCCAATGAACTGGGCTCCATTGATTTCGGCACCGGATCATCGGATCTACCGCCCACTCGGATCGACATGGTCCCGAATTGTTCCCTCTGAGCGGAGTTCACTGTACATGAAGATATTTTGGTCTTCGAAAACGACCGAACTCGCGGAAATCGCCAGGGGGCGACGGAATTCACGGTTTCCGCGAGGAGTATCCAGCCCAAGATATAGGGGATTCCGCACCCGTGAAATCTCCACTCGCGAACGCTCCGACTCTCAAACGATTCGGTCCACGAACTTCTCCTCCCGCATGGGACTGATTTGAGGTACGAACGTAGATTCGACTCATGAGCGCTCCGATGGTGTATTGGGGACTCAGTTCGTACCATTTGAGAGTCATCCGGTTAGAAACCGGCGCTTCCATCAGCATGGGCTCGTCAAATGAAGTATTTTCCCACTCACGAACTTCTTACGATGGGTCATCTGCGTCGGACCAGGTTCGGAAGTCGAGACTAGGCTGTATTTCAACAATCATTAGAGTTCCTGAGCTCTGGACGTTCTGGTCATCCGACGTTCGAATGAGGAAAGATCTGATTGCAGTATCCTTTTTTTACCATATCGCGTTTCCCACATCTAACGACGACGAGGGAAACTCCTCCTTGTCGATGTGGTCGTCGATCTCCGATCTCGCGAATCCGATAGACATGCAAGGTCCGTTAAGCGATTCGAATTATTATGAATCCTCTTTCGAGCTACCATTAAACTGTCTCCCATCATCTATTCTCAGTACGAAGTCCGGCGTGTAAAATCTTCTCCGTGGAATGGAACTCTTGGAGAAACTATGGAGAGTATGTGTGATTAGGCTTGGAGCTTCTTCGTCCAATAGGTCGGAGTGTGGATACCTCATGGTGGAATCAGGATCCCAATTGAAACGGAGAGCCCCTGATCATCCCGTATAGGTGCCGGTTGGATACCGTTCGGTTCCTACCGTGGCGGCAATACCTGAGATTTCGTTCATAGACGCTCATCTGTCGACATACCTTATCCGACTGATCTTAGTCAGAGCTTATCTTTGGCGAAGCTAAACTCTGATAGTCTGGGACTGGCTGCGGTTCAGTTAGGTCAGGCCACCGGAGGTGACATTTGGTTTGATTGTGCTTGTGACATTGAAGTATCCCATGCCTTCCCCTTTCTAGAGAAGATCGGCGGCTGCTCCCCAGAGAGGCGAAGGAGAAACGGCTAGCTTCGAGGAACCAAATATCCGGCTAGCTCCGAGGGAATGATGAGCCTGCCGACAATCATCAGAAACGGAAAGATCGACCGCCTCCAAAATAAGCTCAGGTGATCATTAATCATTACGATTCCTAATCGAGTAGAATATTCCTAGGACACATGAATTGTTGAGAAATCGAAGACGTTGAAGTTACATACTTCTCTTACTACGCAGTGAACGACACCGACCATCATGGTGAAACCGTCGCATGGAATGCCCGTCTTGACTCTCTCCCTTGCTCGGCTTCCTCAGAGAGCTCGGTGGAAAGTTACTTTGGGGACCGTTCCGATGCTTCCGAAAGAAACTTCAGCTGGTGTACGAACCCGACCGAGTATTTCCAGAGAAAAGGTCGGAGGTCTTCGGGGGCAGCTTGTCATGTTTGGAGTCTTCATACTTCATTCGCGTGTTCCACAATTCCACGAATCAGAGCCCTTCCTCCACCGGCCTCTTTCTCATACGTCACTTGGGACTACCCTCTCCGCAACCCTCTCATGGCACAAAAGCACGTGCGTTAGGCGTCAGTGTGTTAGTCGGCACTCAGCTGAATACGAAGGATCTACGTTAAGCGAGTTTTTGTGCGCACCGCAGTCGATCAGGTGTTCCTGCGGTCCTTCTGGGTCGACGCTCCCGGCAGATATATGCGGAACTATCTGTGAACTCCTGAAGGCGGAGCGAAGAGTCTGAACGTGCACTCCTCCGGACCCTGACTGTAATCTCGAGTCTCCTTCCGGCAACTGGTGCGCGTCCCGAACTAAGTTTCTCCGGTGACGATTTGAGAAAGTGATGTCCGCTTCACCTGGCGCCTACAAGAGCCAAGTGATAAAGTGATGTGTTTTCCTCGACCTCGAATCGGATTGGCGTTCGCGCTGCTCTTCGCTGTCGGAGCAGCGGCCGAGCAAAACGCTACTAACGAAAATCATGCAAAAAATTGGGAGCCTCAGAGAGCGTACGAAATCTCGGACGCAATTCTCTTGGACTATGTCAAGACGCAGATGCTCCGTGGCCTCGGACTCCGTGAACCGCCGCGAGTACGTCGAGCGGCCGTAGTTCGGAACCACGAGTACGAACGAGTATACGAAGAGTACCGCAGACGGCTCGAAGAAGATGATCTCTTAGATGATGCCGAAGATCTTCAGAGCTCTTCCGGTCTCCAGAGACTGTACACAATACGCTCGAGCGGTGAGTTTCGTTTTTTCCGGAGTCTCGCTCCGCCATCAATTTCCCTTAGGTTCCGCGGGCGGAACTTCGCTGCATACTTTTGAGCGATTCTCCAATGCTCCAGCGAAATTCTAGATTTATGTAATTCATGTAGGTAGGGCACGATGCACAGAAAGCGTGTCAGAGCGTCGCGTCGGAGGGAGTTCCGGAGGAGCAGCCGTTGGAACATCACATCGTCTTCTTCGGTCGAAAGAAAATCGATCAGTTACGGTCGGGTCTGGCGGAATTGGCGGAATTCGCAAAATATTTATTCCTCAATATTATTCTCAGAAATTGGCTTTCGTAAAATATGTCCTTTTCCTCCTTTCGAGACGGGATTCCCACGTCGAGAAATTTTTATGTCACCCGGCACGCTTACATATCGATGGGAATTCCCCGTGGATCATCACTGCGAAAGTAAACCGAGTAAACACAGCGGGGAGGAGATCGGAAAATGAATGCTGACCGGCGATTTCGAGACCCAGTGAGAGTGCCCGATTACGAGATCCAGGAGCTCGGAGAGGTGTTTCTACTCTCATGAAAAGATCGCAGACATTCGTAGACTCCCGAGGGCAAGGTCCGAACTAATCACTCGATGCGAGAAGCCCGGCGGAATGCTGAGAGAGATGGCCTTCGAGGTCGCTCGTGTCCGGCCTATTTCTTCATTTTTTTTGGGTGGGGAAATCGGCGCCGCAGTGTCGCTGGTCTGCAGCTGCAAATGATGACACAGAGTTTAAACGCGCGCGCGCGACTCGCAAACCCTTGTCACGGGCAGCGAGGAGGCGGACCTATCGGTTCGTCCACTCTTTTCTAGATTCCCATTCATGTTCGACACCGTCACCTCTCATCACATTTCTGGTGTCTGTGCAGGCAGACCACGAGAGAAAACTGACGCTCGTAGCAGATATGGGTGCCTGTCAATGGGTGTCGATTACCGCCTTCCGATGGCAAGCCGAACAAGCGGTGGGAATCTCCTGATCTCAGCTTGTCGACTCTCGCTCCCGGATGACGGATTTTCTGGAGAGTCACGGAACACGTCAAAGGGTCTGCGTCCGAAGACCATTTGTTTCTCCATTCAGAGTTCGCTGATGCGGAAGATCTCGCGAGTGCGGAATGGAGAGCTCGGCAGACCCTCCATGGAACTCAGGTCGATTGCTCTTCTCTCTCACGGGCCCGCTCTTTGGTCTCGAGGAAAATGGCCTTCATGGTTTCTGTCAGTCGTCGTCATTAAAGGAGGGGGAATCGAGGCGGGTGGGATCGGCTGCTCACTTGGCCGGTCGCATCCCAGCGAGTCGGAAAGCTTCTGATGAAATCTGTGAGAAGCACTCTGATCTGTCGAGCACAGGGTGTGTGGGTACTCATTGAGTAACACGAGTGTATAACTGACTCGGTCAGAGTGAGTGAATAAATGCGTTTCTGTCCCTCGGGTTTTTCTATCGTGCACATGGGCCCCTCGAAGCAAACAAACAAAGGCGTCCTTTAAGGAGTTCCGCTCCGAGAACGAAATCCAGTTTTTCTCTTCAACCACAACGACAAGTAGAGCGACGAAGAGCACAAACAAAAAAAAACGAACGAGCGAGCGAGCGAAAAACTGACTTCAAGCAATCAAGGAGCCGTGGCTTATGAGCTCGATGTTAATTGCCGAAGAAGCCCACACCTGATCGGAGGTAGCTTGTCTTGTAGACGAACAGGTAGACGCTAACACGCACGCGAGTCTCATCCCTCTGGGGCTGTCGACCGGAATATGTTTGTATGGAGCGCAGTACGACCGGCTGCATCCGGCTCGTGAACTGAGCATTCAGTGGTAGCTGCCGCGTAAAATCGCCGGGCGAATCAATCGACCGATGTCAGTCTCCGTCAAGCGTCAGAGGCTGTGGCATTTTCCCGAGAATTCTTTCCCGAAACTCCCTTGCTTCCGATTGAGAGCTCAGGCGCCGGAACGCTCCACTCATCGCAGTTTTCGGGACAGAATGAGCATACGAGGTGCTCCGAGCGTGTTTACAACCCCGTACTAGGCTGCGGTCGTATCGCCGAATCCGAGGTTTCCACGAAGCCTTCGGTCGATAATCTGCCGCTCTCGGAAGCACGTCGCCCTGACGATGCGTCCTGCCCGCTCGGCCAGTCTAGCTCCGGATCGCCGAGAGCGATTCCGGCGCACGGAGGAATTCGTTGTAGATTTCCAGCGAATTTCTTAGGCGTACCGTGAGGCAATGGGCTGTGTTGCCAAGCTCTCACAAGGGAGTTCAACCGTTCCTCGTTGCGCATCTATCCGCTATGAGCGATCACTTCCATCTTCGACATCGGACGAAATTCTCAGAAACGTTCTCAGAGCGTCACGTGAGCGGAGCCACCTGGAGACTCGGAATTCCAGTAAAGTCGACCAGACAGTGCTTTTTCATGTCCGCGTGCCGATCGACGGCCCAGCGAATCCATTCCGTCGCGAGTCAACCTTCTCGTCCCGGATTCCGGAAACAGGTGCGATGGGAGGAATAATTCCCATTCGTCGTGGGAATCGATTGGAGATCTTTCCGGGAATCCGAGGTCAAGTTAGCGACTCGGTTGGAAGACAGGGTCCTCCTTTTACCTAATCTCCCTTCGTTTCTCGAGATGAGCTCCTGAAGGCGAACCGATGGGAAGCTTCCGGCTCTAAGATGGTCAGCGACCAGCTTTCAGGCTCGGGGGAAATTCCGGGGGGAGTTCCCGGAACCAGGAGGATGCTCCTATGACACCGCTCTAAGCTCTTTAGCGAGCTGCTCGAGAGCAAATCCGAGCTCTCGTTGTTATTCGACGATGGCAGATTGACAACGCGGAAGCATGCGACACCATGGATCTGCCTTCCGCGAGGAGGAGGCTTCGCTTTGACTCACCCTAGAAAGAAAACAAAGAACGGGAGATCCAATGAAGCACCCAATTTAGCCGAATGCGGCCACCGTATGCAGATGGCTCGTATTTCGACGCTTGCATAACCGAGTTGTCAGGAATCGAGACTGATCGTTTGCTCGTAATCATACGGGAGTCTGAGGAACATATTCATTCGGCATCGCTCGGACGAGCTTACTCCAAAGCATGATTATTGGTCGGTAACCCAGATTGGAAGCGACACCGCTGACCCACTGAGCTTTATACGTCGGAGCGATCCACGGACAATGCGAATCGCCAACGGGGAAAGCTGACGACTTGCCAACTCGATCGCGTCTTTTGACCACTGTATGCGAAGTTGACACATCATTATTGATGTGCGCTTATCTGCACCATGACTCGTCACAATGATTTCCGGCGGCCGAATCGTCTACTTGAGTCCATTCGCGAACATTTCCATCGCTCGAATCACCCTCCCGCGGTCCCGAACACGCGAAAGGGGAGCCGGTGAGCAATCAGGAAAGATATATAAACGCCTGGACGTTGACTGTTCACGTAATGTTTTCCAATCTGTCTCGACTTGACTGCAGGGCGCACTCGACCATTACGCTCAAGGAATGCAAAGCATTTCTCTATGACCCCTAGACGGCTATTAGCACTGGCCTCAGCTAGAATCCGATCGATACGATAAGGACTTCCGCTCCTTCTCGTTTTTCCTCGCGCACGTTTCGATCGGGGGATCATCGGTTCCCCTCGCACGCGTGATCCTCACTCACAGGCAAACGCCACCGCAGAAAATTACCGGATGGAGCAGTCGACTTCATCGAACCCCGAGCCCTTTAGCACTGAGCTGAGTGAATGACAGAGGTGCGCCCGATCAGAGATGGAATCTTTGTATGTGGCTTCTCTGAAGCAATAAATTCTTAAGGGTGGCTCGTCAGTCTTGGACACTTCCGCCAGACCACCTGGTCGGCGGTTTGTCTGACGACTGACCGGCATCCTGACCGGCGTGCTCGGTCGCGATTACGAAGCAGTCTCGGTCAAGAATTGAATGGGCTTTGGAAACCGGTGGTGGCGGATGGCGGCGGCGGCGGCGACCGCTGGATGAGCTCTCGCAGAATTGAAACTACGAACAGTATCCCTGAGGCGTGCTGTCTCTTGATTGCTTCGAATTGTTTCGGGTCCTAGCGCTGACACCGCAGACATCCCGGTGTCGCGGCGCCCGCTGCCGCCGCCGTTGCCTGTACTCGGCCTCCCAAGTGGTCGCGCGTTAGTCTGCCGTTGAGAAGTGCCACTCCGCTATTTCTCTGGTATGCCAGAAGCGTACGAATATGAACTTCACATGACGGACCCTGTTTGATGATATTTATGAAACCCAGATGAGAAGCGGTGCACGACAACGGACTGGCCGTCGTCCGGCAACTGGCCAAGATGTCTCCCGCGAAGATGGTCATCACCTGGCCTGGAATTCTGGCTATCAGGAGACGGTTCGTAGACGAGACTCTCGGATCCTGAGCTCTCCTCGCCCATTTCGCCCGAGAATCGTTTCTTGAGAAAACATCTCTCGGAGAATCGGAACAACGGTCGGCTCGGGTCACGGCATGCCGCGCTAACCCCCGGTGTATAGTCTCCCGGCGAGCGGAATGCTGAATGTGGCGTTTGGGGCTGCCTCGGGAAGTCGGCACCGGAATGCTGCGAAACGGCTCCTTCACGAAACCCGATGATATATTCTCCGTCTCGATAACAATGTGCCTTCAGCAGGGAACTCGATCGACCGATATTTGATCGACCGCAGAGTCTCCCGCGGCCAGTCGGTAGTCCTAGCTGTTGATGTTGCCCGACCAGAACTCTGGCTCGAATCAGTGGAGCCGGAAAAACTCTTCTCGCGGAAAATAGACTGTCGGTTCAGTTTACGTTCGGTAGAACTAAACACGCACTCTTCCCGCAGAAAAAAAACTCGGCGCTGGAAAAAATTATACACAAGCGTCCGCGCGGGTCATCGGAGGCGGCGATCTGCTCGGGCGGTTGCTGACGAATTGATGAGGAGGACGATAGCTTCCTAACTCCTAGGAGTCGCCTTGATCGAGAATCGCGCGGTTGAGAGGCTAACTATACAACGGACA